TAAGTTGTACTGTTATCAATCTTCAATATAAAATTGTATGTATAATGCCCGGAAATACGATCAATGGAAACTGAAGGCCGACAGCTCATGCTAAATTTATTAGAGTACATATTTCCAGGAAAAGAATGGAACCAGCGGTTCCATGTTACCCACTTCATGCGTACTGGAGAGAGTAGCAGATGCGCTGAAGCTTAAGATCCGCCCAAGGTACGGAGACTCGATTTGTTTACTTATTTCATATGGCGTTGATGAAGTAACCGCTAAGAACGGTGACTACAACTATATACACACTTCTCTCTCGTATACATTGCACTCCCTGCCGTCAGACAAATTTGGTTTTAAGTGCATATGTAAAGTTTCTAAAGTAGAGAAAAAAAAGTGTATATGTATTTTCATTTAGATTAGGTTAGTGTTATATCGATTTTTTATTATAAAACCAAGACCAACTTTGATTCAAACGTATCATTGAACATATATATTGAAAAAACAATCAACTGTCCATTTAAGATTTTGCGTTGATCTGTCACTTTTTTCCTTTAAAATTTTATACTGTTCCTTGGTTCGTTCGTTACTTGAATATTGCTGCTCCGTCTGGTTCCCAAGTTATAACTTGAATAACCAATTAGAGCGTATGCAGAGAATCTGTGGATATAAAATCGGTTTCATTGGGGAGGAGTATAGTTATACTGATACTCTTCTTACATAAATATGACGTCTGTTGTGCGACGTAGGTTGGAATTTGATTTACTTTTCTTTCACGAAATTGATGGGGTTCTCAACTGTTACGAAAAATTCCACTTATTGTGAATAATAAGAGAACGCGACATACAGATACTATCTTTGTCCCCTTTCACCAAACAAATTATGGTGTAAGCTCGTCTTCTTAGGTTGGGTAACACATATATTTCTACCTTAGAATTAGTTGGAACTTCTGTCTGTGTTTAAAAGAAGTTTTCAGAGTATTACAATGTGATTCTTTAATCAAGACCCGATGATTAAATAAATAAATATAATAACAAAAATGTAACCTATTATATGGTACATATTCATATTAAGCCTGTGATTCTAAGTTTGGAATGTAGATTGTGTGATTTTATCTTATAGGGTGAGTGGAAGAGCATCTTGTTGTGAACTCCCGCTTTTTTTTGGGTAACCCTTTTATTTTAGCATTTATTCTGTTGTATGGGTATCGCATTTGTTACCCTGAATTTCCAAAATAAGGGCAATTAAAAAAGGTCAGCTCATAATAAAGGGTGTTTCAACATGATGTTCACTTGATGACAGCTGTCATGTCCAGACCACGCGATTAGACGTCAAACGAGCAACCTTTAATTATTGTGAAAACTCGCTACAAAGATGGAGAAAATTACGCGGAAACAGTTCGCAAATTACGTACAATTTTCGGTCGCAATAATGCGCCAAATGGATCGACAGTTTGACGTTTAATTACAAAATTTGAGACAAAATTCTCGTTGCTGAATGTGAAGACCACTGTTCGTCGCCGTCCTGGTCGCTCTCTGGGAAAGTGTGGCCGAGAATCCAGGCATTTCCCTTCGGCATCGTGGCCAAGAATTGAACCTTACCAGACCAACTCTGCAACAAATTTTGACAACAGATGTGTGCGTGCATGCGTACAAGGTTCGGTAAGACTATACTTTAGTGCATATCGCAAATACTTCATTTCTTACTTTAAAATGAAAGATTAGGTTGTAACTTTTACGAAAATATCATTTTTTCTTTAAGGTACCGTCTGCTTGCTATTTTATAGAACTTCAAAGTTGCATTTTCGGTGGTAATACTCTAGAATAGAATACTGTTTTATACGCTTTTTTTCATTTTTGCACAAAATGATGCTCTAAATTATAAGAATAAAGCATACACTGTATAGTACTAAGGAAAATAGATGTGAAACTGTGAAAAGTTGTTGTTTTTTGCAAAAAAGGTTCAAAATCAGCCGTGTTATTACACATTAGCTTATTAGCTAAAATAATAGTTCAAAATAATAATAACTGTGTAGAGGTGTCGTGTTGTGATTTTTCAGTCTTCTTGAAATTCCTTAACCATTTTTTTTTCGCGTATTTTCAATGAGATCAAAGTTTTTGCGTTTATAAGAAATATTTGAAAGTACAAACAATTCTGAATGGCCATTTTATAACGTTCATTTCTGACAGATACGATAAATGATGTCCATTGTTGTCAAGTTGTAATTTTTTTTAGGAGAAATACGTGATAAAAAATGAGGTTATTTGCAAAATAAAAGTCTCAATTTATTGTAAATGGCTTGTTTTAGGAGAAGTTGACCCAATATTTACCAAAAACTAGATGAAATTTTGAACAGTATGTGTCTAAACAGTGGAAAATGCACCAGCGGCTCGCGTGACATCAACTTCGATTCGTCGATTTGGACCACCTCGCTAGGTCCACCTAACATATCATCGTCCAACATTATAGTTAAATAAAGATCAACGATCATTTCATCAAATCATCAAAAAAATTGCAATGTTTTTGTTATGCATTATTTAGTGATCGGCAACAGCTACTTTTTCAGTTATTTCTCATATATATATATCACATTTAATTAGGTATATTTTGTGACATCAGCTTCACTTTAAATAATTCTTCGAGTACATACATACAACAAGTAAATAAATTTTAACTATAATATGGGAAAAACAATAACCGAAGTACTTTTCTGGAGGGCATAAGGCCTTCTTCAAAAAAGTGTCTAGCTAACGCTATGGTAGGGCACGAACTGGATTTAGTACAGTAAAACCTGCCGGTCACAACCTCCAAATCGCATTTTAATCACAATCCTGTGCCGATTGCACATTTTTGCGCTAGTATATAAGTAAGAATTTGACAAACCAAATTAGGGTATATAACTATTCATGATTTGGCAACATCGCAACTAGATGGAGAGAGTAGGATAGTGATGGTGGTAGATGGTGGTGTAGTGATGAGAATATTTATCTAACATAAAAGAAATTACTACTTAACAATGAACTATTATCAAAATAATGCAAAATTGCATTATTGCGATGAACAGTGTCACAGTAATTTACATTGTATGTTATATTCAAATAATTTTGAGCAATCTTTTGTGTAAACAAAAAAAAAAACAGCATATAAAGCAGTATTCATCTCGCTTAATTCGAAAAGAAATTTTGTTTTTCTTGAAAATCAAATCCGGCGCTCTTATTGAGACACCCTGTACATCTGCATCGTTGTTACATAGTTTTATTTTTGCATATTCAACACAATCTTTATCGGCTTATGGCGTGTGATTTATGTTCCTGACTTGATACCATCGATAAATACCACTCAAACATCGTCCCTTAACTATAAAACAAATTTTCAGCTGAGGTTATCAAATCTCGGCAAACAAAGGGGAACAAAGCAGGCTGTACAAATAAACCAATCTGTTATCTAGCCTGGCAGCAGTGATTTTTTGGGGGTCATTAGTCACGTACCCATTACCCTTTTAGGACGTTTAGCAGATTGTTTGCAGAAGCGAGTAGCTGAACGCAAATATGGGAAGGGGATAAACAGCTCATCGCTTACGATTTATAAAAGCTAAAATTCGCTCGTTCGATGTTTTTAAAGAGTCGTGGATTCGCCGACCAATTTCTTGCGTTAATCGAACAAATGGGGTCAATTTTGAACAGTTTTAATTTGAAAATGATTTTTTTGAAATAATTTTTTTATAATGTAAAATAACTCTCTTATTATGCAACTTTTATATAGGTAATTTTTGGTATATATCAACTCCTTTGACAAGTTCTGCAAGCTGTTAAGATCAATGACTCAACTTTGAAAACCCTGTGTGCATGGCTTGATTTGAACACATGTTCTAATATTATTATAAATGAGTCAGTTCCTTTATGCCGAATATAATATAATCCGCGAATCTCTGTTATCAATACTCGTGTCAATTACCTACTTTCACTGCCACAAGGTCTTAGTTTTATAATAGATACTTGAAAATATTGTAAACATTAAAAAATATTGGTGCAATAAAACATATGTTCCATTTTAATTGGTCGCATTTTCATTCTCCCGAAAGTGAACCTGCATAAAATTTTGTTTTGTGAAAATATTTCTCATGATCAAAATAAAAGTGTCTTTCAAAACTAAATAATTTTGCAAAATGTTCAGCAGCACCATATAATAGAAAACTTTGAAAACTGTGATCTTCCTAGCATTTTGAATCAGCTGGATTGCCAGTCAATTTCCTTCAAACACACAGTTGTAGTTACTTAGATTTCTTGGTAAAAATCCAAAGTGCTAGACTGCGGGTTATATGCATACAGGTATGCATATTTATCAAAATACGGGAGCTGACTGGAAAAGTATACGTATTTTAATAATTTGTTTAAACGTTGTGATGATTATTGCGAATTCCAAGAACTTAGGGTCCACAGTTTGTTCTCTACGACCTGATAGTCAATGGTGGTTGAACGCTGACTTCTGACTGTAATGAGATAGTAGCATATATTTCTATAAGAAATCATTAACAGCCTTGAACTTTTAAACTTTTGAAACAGTAATTTATCCGCTAGATGCATTTACTCTACTGACGTGCATACAAGCCGTTAAATAGCTCTGACCTAGCCACCATAAGCAACAAAGTGAGTTGGCGTCGGCTTGATAATATGAAACGTGACATTTTAACATAATTAAGACAATAGCCGGGTATTTAACCTCACCGACACATGAACTCACGGTGCTAATTTGAAATTGGTCCCTATTAGATCTCATTAAAATATATTGCTGCTTGTGAGAGGCTTGAGCCCGATTGACCAGGTAGTGGCTATGAGAAAAGCTTTAGCGACCCATCTAAAGCGTTTTCATTGAGTTGATGTTAAAATTCTTTTTTCTATTTTAAATTAATAATTTTAAATTTGTATGCAATGTGACATCGTTCGAAAAGGTGGTAGTTCGTCAAGCGCCGCCTTTTGCACGCTAAAGGGACTCTATCCATAGGAATTCATGCTCAGATGTACGAGGTCTGTAAATCATGTGATGAAACTGATTGTTTTAATTCTTTTGTTCAAATATAATTACAATTTTATATTGTCACCCACAAAATAACTTCCTTCCTTGATCTGACGAACGATGGTGAGAGTCAAATTTAACTCTTCCCTGATCATTCTGACTATCAACCTACGATTTGAACGCACAAGATCCCGGATTCTGTCGATATTTTCTTTGGTTCTTGAAGATGAAGGCTTTCCGCTTCGTAGGCCATCTTCAATCGACTCTCTTTTCTGAAAATACCTTAAAATTATTTTTTATATTTTAGAGGTCTGTGTATGAAAATTTGTATGTAATGTGATATCGTTCGAAAAGGTGGTAGTTCGTCAAGCGCCGCCTTTTGCACGCTAAAGGGACTCTATCCATAGGAATTCATCGTCAGATGTCCGAGGTCTGTAAATCATGTGATGACACTGATTGTTTTAATTCTTTTGTTCAAATATAATTACAATTTTATATTGCCACCCTCAAAATAACTTCCTTCCTTGATCTGATGAACGATGGTGTGAGTCATATTTAACTCTTCCCGATCATTCTGACTATCAACCTACGATTTGAACGCACAAGATCCCGGATTCTGTCGATATTTTCTTTGGTTCTTGAAGATGAAGGCTTTCCGCTTCGTGGCCCATCTTCAATAGACTCTCTTTTCAGAAAATACCGTAATCCACAAAAAATCTGGGCTCTTGACAAAACACTATCTCCGTAGGCATCCTGAAGTTTAGCAAGAGTTTCCGTTGCAATGTGGCCAAGTCTGAACCAAAACCTGATAGCACACCGTTGCTCGAAATTGATGCCATTCATTTTTAGTGCACAATAAGAAAAACTGTTTCACAAAAATATCGCTACCGACAACCAAATGGCTCGAGCGAGTTCAAATTTGTACTGTTTTCTCTCCAGTGTTGCCAAATCGAACGCTACGTTGTCAGTCTCATCACTTAATTTACAGACCTCGAATTTTGACAAGTGAACGTCCATTCAACATGTCGAACGAAAACTGAATCCGAAAAAAACATTTTTTATAATATCGTTGAAGCCGTATCGTTTATCTTCATTATAGATGTTTATTGGATTATTAGAAAATGTGCTTCATAAAGGTTTACCTGAAAACCTCATATATGTTTCACATCAGATCAAGTGGTCTTGGTTTAATCAGAGACTAAAAACAATGCGGAATTATCTGGGTTTGCTGGGTGAACTAAACACACAATACAGAACAGCTGATACTGGAAGGGAATTTTAAAAAATGTACAAAAAAGCTATAAAAGATGCCAGAACAACTGCGTACGATGGAGCTATATGAGTATTTAAGTAAAAAAGCCAATAAAGACCATGTTGTGGATTGTTATAATAAAAATACAGGGTGTCCCAGAAGTCCATATCAAGCCGGAAACGGGCGATAGTTCAAGTCATAATAGTTATCAGAACACTATAAAAAAACTAAGTCGTGTACTTTTCAAATTATATGCTTGAAAAAATCGGAAAAATCTACACCCTATGATGATCTTTTAGTTCCCAATACTACAAATTTCCGGAGTGACGGACAGCATCATTCTACGTCTACGTTGTGACAGCAAAAGAGATAGTAACGCCACTTTCATTAATTCATGATTGTGAAGTGCCATCCATGTCTGTGTACACCGTACAGGAATACACCAACATGCACCTCATTTATGGGAAATGAGGATGGAGTACTAATGCTGCAGCTAGGCTTTGTCGTGAGAGGTACTCAATTGCTGCTCGTCATCCCGATAACAGAATTTTTATGAATGTACACCTTTTACTCTTAGAGGGACATATCCCAAATCAAGCACATGGTGAAAGAAGAATTTCCTTTCCTTAAGAGGACATCGTGCCACAAGCAGTCAAAGACCCGAGTACTTCAGTACGTCAAATAGAAGCAAGTACGGGAGTGCCCAAACGTACAGACCACCGAATCTTGCGAAAGAACGATCTCTACCCATACCACGTACAGCGGGATGATCTTCCAATAGTTGAGTTTTGCCAAAACAATACTACAGAGACACCGGAAAAATCCGATGGGTTGATGAGTCCACATTTAAAAAAGATGGTTAGATGAATCTTGCACGAGTGACATATAGAAAATCCACATTCGATGAGACAAGATAGATCCCAGTATCGTTTTAAAGTAAACATGTGGATCGGGATTCTAAATGGGAGAATAATTGTGCTCTTTGAGCTGGCAGAGTTCTTGAATGGCGAAATTTATTTCGACTTTTTACGAAATCATTTACCAAATTTATTTGAAGATGTGCCACTAAGCATTTACAGAGACATGTGGTATCAGCAAGATACGGCGTATCATGCCCGTTCATTTAGAGAATATAGAAAGGTCTGGTACAATTTCGTGGCCAGCCGTTCACCTGACTTAAATCGACTCGATATTTTTACTGGGGAGCGGTGAAAGAAAAAGTTACTCAAAGCCAATCGAAAATTTAGCTTAACTACGGGACAATAACGGAAGCAGCTGAATATGTTAATAACGGAAGATTCGCCCGTCTGATAACCCGATCATTTTTAAGATGTCAAGCTGGTTAGTTTGCGTTTCCGGGAAGGTATCTTTCCAGGAATTGTTAAAAAAGCTATGGTTTTACCACTATTCAAAAGTAATGACACGAATATCTTCCACCAATAATTATACTTTGTGAATAGAATAAAATACACCGCAGTTCCTTTAATCTATAAACTTTAATACTATAATTTTACCGATATTGCTATTTCCCTTTGCACCATATTTGGTAAATAGAACCCAGCTGGTCAGGGTGGGAGAAATGGTGTCTCAGGAAAGGGAACTGTCCATCGGCATTCCACAGGGCTCAGTATTTGATCCTACATTATTCCTGTTGTAGAGTAATGTCTTGCATTTGGCAAGCATAGATGCCGCTTTCACTTTTTGGAAATGGAATTAATGCATGGTTCGATGCGAATGGACTTCTGCTAAAGCACCACACTCACTACGAAAGCTAGGCTATGTAAATATGAATATACCTTCCGCAAAATTCCTGGCATCTTAAATGCGATGTCCACATAAATCAAGCGGCGAAAACACTTGGGTCTGGACTGTATGCGTTACGACGCCTAGCAGAATGCATGAGTACATCAGTATTGAGAATAGCATGCATTATTTCATGTTATTGTCATACGCTTTGCTAATCTGGGGAGACCCGGCGCAGTCGCATTGTGTCTTTGGCCTTCAGAGCAAGGCCATCCGAATAATTAAGGGATTAGATTTTAGGGCTGATTGTAGACAGGCTTTTGGACACCTATGGATTTTAACATTTTGATGTATCAGTCTCTACTTTTTCTTATTTCAAGTCCGATTTAATTTCTATGTTCTTGACCTGTGCCAGTATATATGTATATTGGTACCGATGGGAGGAATTCCTCGCTGAAAAACGGAGTGGACGAGTGACAGCCTCGGAGTCGGTTATCAAAATGGATAAGCACGACGTGGTTCAAAACAGGAGGATCACCGTCCGTGGGCTTGCTGCTCAGATTTCTGGGAGTTGAAGTACGGTGGTCCTCCTATTCCACTTTGTCGCCACATATGTCCGTCAGCTGACGACGAATATTCACATGTGGACTTCTCTGCTGCGAGTTACGGAAGGTTAGAGCTGTTGGAAAAGTCACTATTCGTTACTCGAGCACTCGTTACTGATAGATACTCTGAAGTATCGAGTATCAATCCGAGCACGAAATGATTACTTTGTTTTCCGTATCCGCACCCGGTAGGGTACAATCGTTGATCTTTGAGTGGAAACGCTGGATTCTGCATTCTTAGCCATCACTGTGGCACTAACATGCATCAGGGTTGCCAGACATCCCACATTCGGGTGGAAACCTGGAAACTCAAGATTATCAAATTCTATGTCCGCCAAACAAATAAAAATCGCTCTTATTGTTGTAATCTTGACAACCTGAAAACGCATAAGGAGTCGATTGGATCGTTCAGCAGTAGTATGAATCAGAAAAGCGACAACAGGGTAACAACACCGTTCTCGAAAACCACAATAATAAAAATTATGTCAATTTGATTCGTGTTTACTTGTCCCACATTTTGCTAAAAATTATACATAATTCAGTATGACCACCTATGTGTAGACTAAGCTCCACGTATACGAAAAGTTACTTTCCATTCCGAATTTCCTTAAGCTCATATACAGATAATTTTTCTCTAAAAGACATGTTTTTCAAGCATTTCTAGCAAATATTGAGTATTTTCAGTTTTTAGGCTCATATGAGTCCTATGATACTCTATTCTATAATAAGCCATCTCGTTCTGCTTGAAGTTTGAAGATACGATGTTTGCATAAACCACGGCAGATTTTGGATGAACCATGCTTGAAAAATTTTGCAAATTTCAAGGTTGTCTATTTTCTTAAAAGATAATATAGTCGGTTAAATTGAAGCTGTTCAAATTCGATATTAATTACACGACGCATGTTGCCAAATCGTTATACTCATACTACTCATAGCAATCAAAGTAACGAATACAATAAATGATTACTTTATAGATCGCGGTCAGAGGAAATAAGGAGTGGAGGAACAGCTGTGTGCAGGGGTGTTGCAGAATTTCGCCTCGTACCTTCCAGTGTGGCAAGAGCCCTTTGGGAACGTTATTTCTGGAACAACCTTCGTACATTATTCGCAAATCTGTTCAAAGAGTCCGCTGCATGCAATGTGGACTTCCGAACGCGTACGTCAATACCAACACGTAGAAAGTTCCTACAGTCGGAAAAAAGTACCTGGATCCATTTTTCATGAAAGCAGCCGACACAATGCTTTTGTAATATCCGCGAAATGGATTGCCGACCATGCCTCGCTTGATCAGACTGTTTCATTACCGTGTGCTGATTATAATTTGTAATTATAACCTTAAACAACCTTGCGGTGTACATATTTGGTATAAAGCAAGGTGGACGCAGCACCTGTGTCGTTATTATTAGCGAGCGCGGACTTCCTTTCGATTTCCAAAGTAACACTCCTTCATAACATGTTTGTATTCGCACCGTCTGATACATGCACGGAGAGATACTCTGATCTCTCATTTCTTTTGGAGACGAGCCAAAATTTGACTTTACTTCTTCATCTTTAGCTTTATCAATATCATCATCTCAAATTTCATTCCTGAGAAATCGCTATTTTCTTCGTAAACAACTAATATAATATGAAGCCACAAATTGCTTTCATTACATGTCCTATACAAGATAATGGCATTGAAATGTTAGAAAAGCAATGAACTCTCCCGTTATAGTATAGTTTTTAATACCAGATCCTCATGAGATTGTTTCTCTGAACAGCATAGAGCATGGATAATGTAGTTGGGGCGGCAGCACCCCAAACGTGTGAGAAATACTCTAGGCTAGGTCTTATCGGGGCCTTATGTCTAGAAAAGTACCCCTTAGCCCTAAGCAAATAGCCTAGCTTTTTCTCAGCAGCTCCCGCTATTGACGAGATGTGTGTGCCAGATCAAGTCCTCGGTGATCTGGACCCCAACTAGTCGAATTGACGGCTCTTTGGCAAAACTCGGCCATCCATCGAAACCGGATGAGCGCTAGGTACGTTTTTTATTCGTCAAGATGCAGTACTGTGTTTTGGAAGCATTAACATGTACAAGTTTCTTGCGTCGCCAAGCACTGATCTCTCACGACACGTCGATCTCTGCTGGTGAGCTAGAAAAAAAGAAGACTAGCAGCGAATTCCTCTCTGACGAGAGACTTGCTGAGTTGGTCTTGTTTAGAGCTAATTAAGGGTATTGAAATCACCGAGGAGAACTACCTCTTAAGCGGGGTGATTGATGTCCAGGAAGTCGATCTTGAGAGTGAGGTATTCAAGTAGGTCATCCCAGTTATGGTCCGAGGGAGAGCGATAAAGGCAGCAAATGAATTTGGGAGATGTTTTGGAGTTGAGGCGAAGCCACAAAACGTCTCTCGAGCAGGAAAGACTGCTGCGGGCAAAAGCCACAACACCCCCGTTCTTGCTCAGATTGGAGTGCACCTTGTAATTTGAGAAGCCAAGACAGAACTGCCGCCAGGAAAAGCATGGCGGGATGAATTAGACTATAGCTGGTGGCGACCAGCATCAATGTTGCTGTTAATCTCGCAAATGTTCGTGAACCATCATACTTAATTTCCTTGTAGGGAAGTTTTATTATGTACTCGATTTTTCTGTTTCTCTTTTTCCCAGAATATCACTCTATATATATATATATATATATATATATATATATATATATATAATTAAAGAATATCTTCTCCTAACAGTTAAGGCAATTAACTATGAATACTATATATATAATCAACATCATCACATACTACTGTAAGTTAATTTAAATTCATTTTACACAATTGTTGCTACTTTTATCAATGTAATTGCAGCTCCTGATGATGATGGCAAAGACCATTGAAAGCTAGAGGATTAAAAAAGTATAAAGAGTCCTCCTTGCTTAAATTTTGTCGAAGTACCCAACAAAAGGCGGAAGCATAACATGTTGATCTAGATCTAGACTTAAGGTGTAGATTGTTCTACCAAAAGAAAACCTTTAATGATACTAACCTTTTCGCTCATTTTCATTATTCGTGGTTCTTCTGCAATTAGGATTTGCCTGCTGGCTTGAAATAAAGCTAGATGATGTGAAGCAGCGTTGTAACATCTCGCAAGAATGGCTTTTAGTATTTGTTAGGTCTCTTCCAGGTGCTATTTTCACTTTGATTACGATCGAAACAAACACGTTTTTTATTCCACAAATAAACAGCAACCTAAATAAAACGCTCAGTTTGTATGATACCTCGTTTTTGTTTGATCTAGCGCTATCTGTCTTTTATTGCCGTTTTTTAAGAAACGTTATCAAAAAATTGATAATATCGTTGACACTGCAATTAAGCTACAAATATTCTGAGGTGCTCCAGATTTCAGATAAAAAACACAGTCACCTTTAAAAAAGTTATTTGGGTTTTTCCGAAAAGTACAAGTTGATACTATGCGGTTCTTTATTTTACTATATCTATAATTAATACTTCCATACTGTAAAAATGCCAACGACGAAAAAAATCACTGAACCTTCATCTTTTGACGTTCCAGAGGGTCATGATCATCTTAAGAAAAATGTTTGTAGGGGTTGAAATTTGAGGGTTGGAGGTTGTAGAGTGGGTTGGAGGAGAGTATATGAATTTTTTTCTGAGGAAATTTATATATGTATATATATATATATCGTCGGATTTTTTTTGACACTCCGTAGGTTTTTGTGACATAACGTAGGTTTTTCTACAAGATGTTAACTTAGCACAAGCTGTTACACACTTGTTGTGAACTTGTTTTGTAGTAGTACGTGTTGCTTAAACGACAGCGAACATCGACTAAAGCGAGCAAACGTGGAATGATCTATTTGCACACTAAAAACTACCCAGTCTGCAAGTTGACATTTCGTCGGTTTTTCTGGCGTTTCTTAGGTTTTTTCCTGTACATTTGACTTTAAAACTTGAATGATAGAGAACTGTTCTTGAAACGGCAACTTCTGCTATCTAAGCTCGCTCACAGTCCGGCGAACCGGTACGGCTGGCTATTGCCGTGCAGATGTTGAAAGGGACAACGTTGCCAGACGGACAGTAACTACCGGTACGGCAGGGAAATAATGTCTATGTACTAATTGTGGCGGCCTGTTTGACTTCCGTTCAATTTCCCTATTGTGCATGTTTGTAACTAACTTTTTTCTCACAGGATTTGAATTCCGATGAACTTGATCCTTTATGAACTAATGACGGCGTTGCCTAGGAAGTGCAGAGTCCTCCTACATGATAGCATTTTTTAATTGTTAAAAATGAGAGAGCTTGATCTCATGCTATTGTCAGGGTTTTAGAACTCGTTTTTGAAATAGCGATTTGACGTGGTAGATTATTGCTGCCTGATTGAGATTTTCGCGTTTCAGCAGGAAGCGGATAGATCTAAATCCAATGACATGAACATTAACATCGACACTGAAATCTAGGTCGCGTTTTTGTGAATTGGATGTTTTCCAAATTAACTACACATAATACACACATACATCCGACTGATAGAGACAACGTACACCAATTTGATAACTCGA